CTATCTCTATATATCTATATCTTTATCTCTATATCTCTTTCTCTATATTTCTATATCTATATCTCTATATCTATATCTATATCTCTTTCTCTATATCTCTATATCTATATCTATATCTATACCTCTATCTCTGTCTCCATCTATATCTATATCTATACCTCTATCTCCATCTCCATCTCCATCTATATCTATATTTATATCTATATCTATATCTATATATCTCTATATCTCTATATCTCTATATCTCTATATCTATATCTATATCTCTATATCTATATCTCTATATCTATATCTATATCTATATCTATATCTATATCTATATCTATATCTATATCTATATCTCTATATCTATATCTATATCTATATCTATATCTCTATATCTATATCTATATCTGCATCTATATATATAGTTTCGTCGCAACATCGTTTGGATGTTTGGCGTAGCTGTATGGCTAGTCGGGCCATGGACGATGGAGAAAGTTTTACTCACTTTGGCCGTGCGTTTCAGGTAGCGCACATCAACACGCAGACGGGAGGCGATAATTTCGTGTGTCAGTGGCAAGGGTGCAAGGTGCAGGGCAGGAGTTCCTGTTCGCGGAGGTGGCTCGAGCGACACGTGTTGTCGCACGGAGGCAACAAACCGTTCCGGTGCATAGTGGACGGCTGCGGCAGCAGATTCAGTTCTCAGGTAATGCGTCGTGTCCGATGCTCGGCTGCCCAGCAACCGGCAGCAACCTTTTGTCGTTTGGACAGCCGCTGGCGTGATGATGATCGGTGATGATCTCTTTTGTACGTGGACGAGGATGTTGGTGAAATTCCTCGTGTCCTGTCTTCTCTTCTCTCCTCCGTTCGCGCGCATCGACCGAGAAGGATCGATCGTAAATATAACACAAGCCTTTTCACTGTATCTCGCCGTGTGTCTCTGCAAGCGGACGTAGAAGTCGATCGATTCGTCCTCGCCGTTCACGAAACTCATTCTTCCTCACCATCCGAAAGATTGCTGAGAAGAGAATCGCCGTTGCGGATGGATATGCTTCTCACTCGGGGTTGAAGATGATGATGATCAGATGTGGTCTGCCACATCAACTGTACTACTCGATCTTTGTTCGTTTCACGAGCAATCGAAAGTCGAGAGGGTTTGGTAAAACGCTCCTCGCATTCTCGTATCTTTTCTAACCACGTATCCGTATCTTTTCTCTGTTATTCTTCCGCCAATTTCCGCTCGTCGCTCACGCGTCGAACTCCCGCTTAAATGCTTGTATATTGAATTGGAGCAGAAACCTTGTGAAAACTAATGAAACTTATTTTTTCCCCACTTATCAAGCGTTCGAGTGTTCAGGATATGCTGAGATCTGATGATGATGATGATGATGATTTATATATATATATATGTGTGTGTGTGTGTATATCTATCTGACGTTTGTCCTCTGATAATGTCCTCTGACAAGTTTGGTAATGTATGGCTTCGTCTAAACGAGGGACTACGTGTTCGTTGCTGGTCTCAAAGGCGACACGATCTCGCAACGAATGACTCTCGTTCGAAATTGTCAAGCATAGCGGACGTACTCCCTGGTTACCGATCTAGAATATAAGAGAGTCTCCAAGGCTCGGTTAAGAACCAAAGAAAATATTTTTCCGCAGAAAATATTCTTACTCTTGATTCGATTTCACTTCACTTGATTTTGGATCAGTTCACACGCGCTCGTGTGTCTCTCTCTTTCTCTGACTCTCTCTCTCTCTCTCTCTCTTTCTCTCGTCACGTCGACGTGTGTTTCTCGAAAAAATCTGTCTTCTTTTGTCTTAACCGTGCGCGTACGTTAGGTACCTGGTCGACGCAATAACTCCGGATGTTGCCTCGGTCTTTCTTCGAAAAGGGCATTTTTCAGGGACAGAAAAGAAAAGAAAGAAAACAGCCTTTACTCTCTGGACTGGAGCTCGATTTGTCTCTCATTTTGCTCGCTCGTTTGCCTCACTTTTCCCAAGAAAAAAAAACAAAAAAAAAAAAAAAAAAAAGAATTCACATCAATCAGGTTTCA